TTACACTAAAGGAAACTACAGGTGGGGAGTTTGGGGTATATAGGGCTTAGGGTTTAGGGTTTAGGGTTTAGGGTTTAGGGTTTAGGATTTAGTGTTTAGGTGGGGGGTTTAGGGTATATAGGGCTTCTATAAGGCTTCTATTTGTGTGTAGTTGCACTCATAATTCCTTGACCGTAAACCCTAAACCCTAGACCTCTAAACCCTAAACGCCTCTATTCCTATGCTACAATTCCATTAAACCCAAAACCCTATGCCCTATAATTAACCCTAAACCCTACACCCCAAACCCAAAACCCAATGCCGTATAAGCCTTAAACCGTAGACTGTCAACTCTAGACCCTGCAAACCCTGAACGCCCCTAAGCCCGGGACATACTTACCGCGAATCTCGAAGGATCCCCTCACTTAGCTTGGCTGACTTCTGAACCCCTCCTAAAAGTTAAACTTTTAGCATCCTTAATATAGTTCATATAGAAACCCAAAAAGTTAAAGAACTAAGAGCCAACCGGAAGAACACCAAGTTAGAGGATCGCGGGACTAGTACGGTACGCCCTGAGCCTATTTCTAAAACCAGTTACGAAGTCCCATGACCCACACGCACACGAAGCACGCTGACAGGTCCATACGCGGATTAGCACTCACTGTCACACCTTATGACAGGCGTGTATATGCACATCTCCGTATGCAACTGCGTATGCACTTAAACCAAACAACTGTCGTTCTGATTACTACCACGAATCACAAAGAGGATGAGCATGCAACTCTACATGGATAGTCAAAGGACAAAGGACAAGCAGATCCAGGCGTACATAGCCGAAGCAAGACTGGAAACGACGAACGTGTAATTTGCCAACCCACCGAACCACTTGCTGTGTACCTGCCTAACCATCTACCATCCCAGCAAAGACCATATACACGCTTGAGTGCTCTTTGGATACAAAGGTCCGTATACACAGCGAAAGATACTTACACTGCGTATCCATCCATCCATCCATCCATCCATCCATCCATCCATCCAGCCATCCATCCGTCCAGCAATGCACCCGTGTGCTCATGCTGCCATCGGTGGGTGCAGGTGACATGGCTTCGCACAGATCTGAAGTATGTTTCATGCATGCATGTAGGGTGTTGGGGTACCATATTGTCATATAGTGTGTGCACTTAGATAACGAACGCAACGAGTAATTTACTCAGGCCCTTGTGGTACCCAACGGTACTCACTTCGTAGAAAGTAATTGCGGCTTCTATCCCTAAGGCTCAAAATAGCCCACAAGCCTCATATAGCATGGTGTTTGGGCCCAAAAGCCTTAACAAAAATGAGTCCTTAGAGCCTTAGGGTATAGCAGGAACTACTATGAACCCTAAACCCTAAACCCTGAACAACGAGTAGGGCTTGCGTAAGTATCCCCCGGTGGTAGGTACTTCGGATCCGTTTGGGGTCGGAACCCAGGCTTCGACTTCAACCAGGGTTTAGGGTTTAGGGCTTTAGGGGTTTAGGGTTTAGGGTTTTAGGGTTTTAGGGGTTTAGGTTTTAGGGTTTAGGGTTTAGGGTTTAGGGTTTAGGGGTTTAGGGTTTAGGGGTTCAGGGTTTAGGGTTAGGGTTAGGGTTTAGGGCTCCGGACCCAACGGGTCCAAAGTACCGATACGGTAGAATGGGGGGGGGGGGTTCTATATCCGGAGTTGTTATTATGATTTAGGGTTTAGGGTTTAGGGTTTAGGGTTTAGGGTTTAGGGTTTAGGATTTAGGGAAGTATCCACCATAACCGAAAATAGGACCCTTTGGGGGAAGAAGTAGTCAGTAGTCGTAAAGACTCCCTTATAGTCCCAAATATACTTTTACTGTAATGTACAATAAGCCTTGCTCTAAGTATTGAGGCCCCTCTAGTAATGTCAACAAGCCCCTGCCCAATTTTGTCGTCGCGGGCAAGTTTGTTGGCGTGCCCTCGTGCTTGCTCAAGGTACCGAAAACCAAGGCAAACAGGAAGGCAGGAAGGATATATTAAACATTTGCGTTACATCCTTCCGATCAACGGGCGTTGACCCAGAAAGTCATGTTCGGACGAGGAAACAACAAATGGGAAGCTAGGTCGCCCAGTACTTAAATTGAATAAGTATAGACTCTTTTTTGATGTTTGGGGCCCTGTGGAATCAGGTCAGACTGGGCTTCCTCGGAACTTGAAAAAGAGGCTGGGTTTCCTGCTTAGGATTCTAATATACTATTATATGGGTAGTTCTCTAAATTAGGGTCTCGCTTCCGGTCCCCAAGACAGTACGGCGGAAACGCCTCAAAGGGAGTTGCCGCGGCCGGACTTTGAATAAAGTGCGGCGGCGACGATCCCGCGCGTCCGGGTGTTTAGGGTTAAGGGTCTAGGGTCGAGGCGTACCCATGCTACAATCCGTGAACTACGGAATATACCTGAGCTCCTATTTATTGGGGATCCTAGGGGAAGGCCGGGGCACAATCAATCCCATCAGTACCACCTCCTCAAATGCTTCACACTCAAAATCACTCAAAAACACCCTGGACGCGCGTCTGCCGGGACCCCGCGGAAGAGGGTGGGGGCTGCACAAAAGGCAGAATGATTCCTGATTACTAAAACCTATAGACCCTAAAACCGTAAGATTCAACTTAAGTCCTAAACCCGAAAACTTGACAACTTTCATCCTAAACCCCCAAAACTTGACAACATCCTACATCACCTGGCTTCCTCAGAGACGGATGCCCTCCAGGATTTGCACCTCGGTATCCGCCCAAACCATCCGGCCGGACTCGTCCTGGTCGTTTTGGTTCTTTGCTTTTTGTTTCAATAAAGCTAGTTCCCTGTTGGGGCTATATTGAAAACGATCATTTTTAGTCCTTATTGGGTTTCATGATGACAAACATGTAAAATTGTAGGCAACAAGGACCCAGAAGGAGTGTTCAGCGTTTCAGGGTTTGGGTTGCCAGGGTGGGGTCTAGGGTTCCCTGATCCCTAAGGCCCCAAAGGCTCCATGTGCCCTTATAGTATCTACTTGGGGTGTAGGGTTTAGGGTTTAGGGTTTAGGGTTTAGGGTTTAGGTGGTATGTCAGACACTCTTCGAGCTGCAAGGGGTCAGGATTCGAGCCTGATCACACCGAAGAGGGTTTCCCTGCAGCCTACAATGTAGTACCATTTTTTGCTTACCTTGTTGTCTTACTATCCAGTAGCCATAAGACAGGTTATCCCCCAAAAGGTACTACGTTGTGCGGTCTAGGAAGATCCCTACAAATTCTATATCCCAAAGGGCCCATGTACCCAAGTAGCATATGCTTTGGCCCCAAAGTACCTATACGGAGACTACTTTAAGGCCATAGTATATGCTATTTGGGTGCATGTACCGTTCGGGTATTGTTGTTGATAGTAAGAACCTACAGAAAAGTAAGTAATGGTCGTGTAAGGTATGCCGCTGTATGTGGGATTTGACCCCTAGAAAAACGTATGATCATAAACGGGCCCTAAACCCTAAAACCCTAAACCCCTGAACCCTAAACCCTAGCTTTAGGGAGAAGGGCTATGAGGGCTTCACTTTACGGGGGTAGTATACGGGCCTGAGAAACTAGGATAGGGTGCAGGGGTATACTTCAGAGTGACTGGAGAGTGTATTCTCTATGATGGGACGAAGCTATATTGATCTTGGCTGACTTCTGAACCCCTCCTAAAAGTTAAACTTTTAGCATCCTTAGTGTAGTTCATATAGAAACCCGAAAAGTTAAAGTCCTAAGAGCCAACCAGAAGAACACTAAGTGATTGCTGAGACCTCAAACAATCCAGCCTCATCTCGCTGATCGGTGGGTCTAGGGGCTCCTACCCTCAACCCTCAACCCTCAACCCTAAACCCTACACCCCAAAAACTCTAAACTCTAAACCCTAAACCCTGAACCGTTCCCACGTAATCCTTCGAATCCTGTACGGAAACATGAGCCACTATTTCTTGAAGACAAAGAGCGCGGTGTAGGGTTTAGAGTTTAGGGGTTTAGGGTTTAGGGTTTAGGATAATTTTGGGCAGGACTTTGTAACGTAGGGCCCGAACAATTAGAATGGGGCTTGGCGGGGATATGCTATAAGTATAACTATAACAAAAACCCCACGGCATAGTCTTAGTGTTAGCAACTATTCAGGTTCTCATAGTATTGTCAGTATTGTCGGCAATCCTTGTCTAGACTGGCATCACGACAACCTAAACCCTAAACCCTAAACCTCTTTGAACCTTAGCTTGGCCCCGGGAAACCCCACTTTCTTGGCGCTAAGGACCCGCGTAAGAAATATGCAAGAATAGAAACCCTCAACAACGTAGTTGTTTACAGGGTTCTTCAGGTAAGCCCTAGACCCTACACCAAACCCTAAAACTTTCAACTGTGTGAGGTTTTGAAATTTTAGCCCCCTCAAACTGGCAAAGGTTCACGCAAATTGCGTCGCCGTCTGTTCCGGCGTCCATCATGCAGGTGGCAGAAGTCACAGAAGGCCCCTTTAGTACACGTCCGGAGCGGGGGCTTGTGATAGCCTGACAGAGGCCAGAGGAAAGCAGATGGAAGCAAGAGAACAAGGCCTCAACTCGAAACCCGAAACCCAGGACCATAACCGCAACCACCGTTACATCTGAAACAAACGCCAAAATCCCAAAAGTCAGACTGTGCTTCTTGAAGCCAGGGGACTGCACACCAAGCCTGGGTCATGGTGAATGAACCAGATTCGGGTAAAGGGTGAAAGAGTTGAGGTGTGCACCGAAGAAAGCTAGTCTGTCATGACAGATAGACTTGCAATAGTTCCTGAACCCATCGTAACCTGCGAGCCCTAAACCCTAAACCAAAAACTCTAAGCCCTTGGCAGAAAACATGCGACAGCCAAGAAGCACAACGCATTCACGCCATCCCCCACGTGTAATGCACTCCCAAAGGAGAGCTCCGGCACAGGCTGCAACTCTCCTCCTTTCGGGTTTGATCTCGGGGCTCCTTCAAGGGTTCCTTAAGGGGCTCCACAAGGGCTCAAAAAGTGATCTCGTTCCGGTCTCTCTCTCTCTCTCTCTCTCTCTCTCCCCATCTATATGTGTGTATATATATATATATATGTGTATATATGCATTATATATATATATATATACACACATTATTTTCATGGGTAGGGTTTTCAGTCTAGGATTCGGCTAGGGTTGGACTAAGGGTCTACTTGGAGGATCATGGGACTTAGTAAGCAAAGCTATGTGCACCTTGAACGGTCTAGGGTTTAGGGTTTAGGGTTTAGGGTTTAGTCTACCAGTGAGCAATTCGCCTCGGCCCACCTCTTAATCCCCTCCCCAGTAACCCCCACCCTCCAAAACATCTATCAGAGCAGGAAGGGTTGTTTCTGTCAACCCATAAATGAGCCCTAAGGTCCTATGGTATAATCTCGCCTCCTCCAATGGAGCGCCCCCGGGCCCCCCCCCCCCC